CACCCTACCTCTTTGAATTATTGATTCAAAAGAAAGAAATGGTGCTAAGTCCATTAAAATGGCTGAGAAAGCCACTAGGGGGGACATTCTGAGCTTCCGATCAGTTATTCATGTCATATATAGAAGTAAGTGTATATAAGGGAGTGTTTCCAAAAATGGAAAGAGGTGGACAGAGTGCCACTGTGTTTGATTTATTACATGAGCAATATCTTAATAAGTTAAAGAGGCTCTTATTTTATATTCTAGTTTGTCAATATCTGTAATTTGAGTTTTTATTTGTTCAAAACTATAGACTTAGTATTTTGACTTCACAAACATCTAATTTGAACCAGTGCTGCATTCAAAATACCACGTGACACACAAAAATCGATGTTTATCCGTGTTTTGGATATTTGCTTTTAAATTAAGAAATTGAGTAATATATAGTACTAAAATATAAATTATAATCTACAGTTTGATACCAAACTTATTGACATAAGTTAATGAAATAGTAGTTGAATAAAATTTTGAATGCGAGTAAACAAGCGAGATGACATGGCCTCTCATCCAGGACCCATCTCGAAAGGGCTAACAGCATCCAAGTATTTTACCTTTATTAAGTATTCCTTTCAAAATATAATATCATTCCCTTCCACAAAATATACAGCTGTCACAAGTTGCTAATAGTTATTTACAAGTAGGAGCTGTTTTTTATGATATGTAAATCACTTTTGAGTTAGAAGGCGCTGTTTATATAACAAGATAGGTTAATTATAATGAGAGCATTGCTTCAAAAAATATAATCCAGTGCTTTGATTTCATCACATTTTAAGAACTAAATATTATATACATTTTTTTTATTGTTACAAGCTATAAATTTTTTACTGCAGAATATTAGAATTGTTGGTAGAGAAGAATAGAGAATATCACAGTTTTAGAAACTTTAACATCTTAAGTTACATGATACCACTAAATTAAAAACTTTTTGTACAGAGTAATTTAAATAACATAGACAAAATACACTATTATTTAATACATCAAACAGGTACAGTTTATTTGCTATTAACATGAACTTCATTGAAAAATATGTTCGTAAGCAATATTGATAAATGATTATGAAATGGGTCAGAAACTAATATAAAGAAATGTTTAAATCAAAGATAAAAAATATGATCTACTTGTAAGTTTATGTATTGTGTATTTAATGCATTATATATACATATAAAGCTTCAAACATTGTGTTTTAGTATTTAATACTGTATTTCTTATTGTAAGCAAAATAAGCATGAATATACATAATTATTTTGAGTGTATTTTGTATATGTGTAAATATTATATGGGATCTATTGGTCCATCTCGGCTGTTCCATCCTCTAAACTAAATTAAAATGATTAAAAAAAAATCTTAAAGTCTGCCCTTTTCATTCATAAACTTATCAAGCTTTCTCTTAAACTGTCTTCACAATAGCTGAAGGCAACCAATTCCAAAGGCCAACTATCCTTTTAGAAAAATGAAACTGTCTTAGCTGAAGATGACTCCTACCTTGCCAAAATTTATATTTGTGGCCCCTAGTCCTACTATTCTCATTGTTAAATATAAAAAAAGATGATGCATCAACACTATCAATTCCTATTACAATCTTAAACACCTCAATCAGATCCCCATTACTAACTTTTTTTCAAAGGAAAATAATTTGAGAGATTTCAGCCTCTCCTCCTATGACAACTCTTCCATCCCAGGCACCATTCTAGTATCTCTTCTCTGAACCCTTTCCAACAATTCAATGTCCTTT